CAGGATGGTTGGGAAGACTGCATGCATGTTGAGCATGTTCTCTGGAGGAGCCAGTCCCTGGAGGAGGACCTCCTGTTCGGTAAAGCAGCCTCTCGTGTTTTCCCTCCTGTCCTCCTCTTTAAATGACTAAGGCCCCAGTTCAGGGCTGGACTCAAGTCTGACTCCCAGTGATCACTTGCCATGAGTCACCCCACCAATTCAAGATTAAACGAATCTTCCAGTCTCCCCCTCTTACAGTGCTTATGTTATGACATTTGAGGTTCTTGTTTTTCCCCCACCTGGACTGTGAAATTGGTTTAAGTCTACTGTGCCTTATGAGAGTCCCAGGAAGGTGCAAAAATTAATGTTTTGGGTGAATAATCAAAACGTTGGAGGTGCTTTGAAAGGAAAGCCTAGTGATCTATTTTCTGACAAATCCATCCCTGGAGACCCATTTCAACTTGAAACACACAGACTCACCTTGAGTCCGAATGGGCTTCTCTGCGGTAGGTGACCAGAGGTCTCGGGCAGAGAAAGTGTTCAACAACGAGCTGTGGGAAGAATGGATGGGTACATGAATGCAGGAATGAATAATAAATAGATGAGTTAATGAGTAACTGCTCAAAGAGAAAGAGATTGAGCCATTAACAAATGAATTTAATCTCCACTATCCCCATTATACACTTTTCTCTTCAAATTCACTTCAACTGGACAAGGTCTGAGGTTGGTGCTATGAGAGTAGCCTGCGTCTTCTTACCTAGCTCTGAGATCTGCACTGGGATCCCTCGTGGCACAGTGGTCAAAGCACTTAGCTGCTAACCCAAAGCTCAGTGGTTTAAATCCACCAGCTGCGCCAGGGAGAAAGGTCTGACAATCTGCTTCCATAAAGATTTACAGCCTCGGAAAGGCTAGGTGGGGAAGCTCTACTCTGCCCTGTTGGCTTGCTATGAGTTTGAATCTCCCCAGTGGTATTTTTTAATATTAAAAAAATGAAATAATTCACTGCCATCAAGTCAATGCTAGCTCATAGTGAACCTATCTGGCGGGTAGAACTGCCCTTGTGAGTTTCCAAGACTATAATTCTTTATGGGAGTAGAAAGCCCTGTCTTTCTGTCACAGAGTGACTAGTGGTTTTGAACTGCTGAACTTGCAGCTAGTAGCCCAATGCATAACCACTGCACCTCCAGGACTCCTTATAGATGTGTATGCGTATGTGTATGTACATATATGTGTGTGTGTATATATATATAAAATCATTTTCCACATGGAAAGGAAGCAGGGGAGAGCTGTTGCTCTTGGTTTGAACTCCAACTTTCTATCTGTGAGCAAGTCACTTACATTCTCAGTTTTGCCATCTATAGAGTGGGGATTATGATCATATCTACCTCATAGCATTATGGCAATTATTCATTTTTTATGTTTTTCTGGGGCATTGTCTGCTGCATCTCCTGATGCAGATGCTTTACAAGATATTGTCCAGTGTTCCCTGGAAACACTCTCACCATCCATTATTGCTTCTAAACATGATGGTAGAATTGCATTCCTCACATCAGGAGCTGGCATTACTGAAAATAATTAAGTATGGTTTGTGGATAAGCAGAATCATTGTTCTACTCTTCTCCTTTTCCAGGACTGCCCTAAGATCGCTGGAACACTTGAGATGTTTCATCCATCAGTAGAGCGCAGGAAAGCCCAACCTTTCACATACCCCTTTCCAAAGAAGGGTGTGGTAGTTACATAATCGGCTGTCAATTTTTGACTTACGAG